TGAGTGTTTGTGTATGCATAATGAAACACATGAAAATTACAGTTGTTTACTTTGAAGTTGGGATTTAGAGCTTTCTATTTTCTTCTAATCCCTTAAAAATAAAAATATTTTAAAGCGCTCCAAGAAACCCACTTAATTATGTAATAAGAGAAAATGCTACTCTCGGTAGAGAAAGTAAATAAATGATAATTAGTTATAAGATATATACATGTACAAAACCTGTAGAGTTATCACAATAGAAAAAAGAAAAAGGAAAGTTTTCATTACTTCTAGTCTATGCATAATGATTATGAGTGCTTTTGTAATTTTAGATGTCAAAAAGTTACAAAAAAGGCTTTTTAGAATCTAATTGATTTTAGTTTTAAAACCTAGATTTAAGATTTACTGTTAGAGTATATTTAAATATGTGAAGTTGTAACTTAATATCTAACAGGAAAATTGTGTGACTGAAAATGACAGTAATAAAAATATGCTTGGAAGTGACCATATCATACTGAGCTGTCCCATGATCAAGAGAATAAAATACAAAAAAGTGAGCCCTGGAGTACTGGATTACTAAATCACCAACTTAATTGCATTTTCATAAATTGTCTCATGTGTTTTTATTGCCCAGGGGTGCTGGCAATACTAATGAAGCCGTAACAGAGCATTTCCTAAAAATCATAAAAAAGCAGTATAGAAAATAGGTGCACACAGCATATGAAATATTTTTTATTAAATAGAATTTATTTTTTCTCATGAAACAACCAAATTGATATGGCACCATTATTAAGAAATTGTTTCCCTGTGGTCTTATATAATTTATTCTTTTGCTCATTTGGCACTTTAGCAAATAACAAAGCAGCATGTGAAAATGATTAATATGACAATTCCATGCACTCTATGGAATGCTTGAATATAAGCTGGAAAAGCATTATATTATGAACATGCAGCAAAAACTGCTTATCAATAATTGTAATTGGAAATTGCTATAATTCAGAGCTCTGATATTAAGTCTTGGTGGCTTTTATAAGAGATCTCATAGACATAGACACAGGCACACTCTCTTACCAAGCTGATGATCTGAGCTATCTTTTGACTTGGCCTACAAAAAAATACTGTTACCAGTTATTGAAGCAGTGGAGTCTGAAGGATCTTTAAACTTGAATCTCCAGAACTGTGATCCATAATAAATCTCTCATTCATAAACAGGTTGTCTCAGGTATTTATCTCATTATAGTGATGAAAACTTGACCAACACAGAAGTTGGTGCTTATTTATTCACAGTGAGTGACAATTTACATTATTAATTTGCTATGCAGCATGGAAAAATAAATCACCCTATATGACAATACGGCCTACCATTATGCTAAAGTTCAAGTATAATGGCTTCAATACATCTATTAACTGTAAAATAACGTATTGATATTTTCGAATTACTATTCAATAAATAAGTGAATGATTCCTATTCCAAAATAACCTACATTTGGTAATTATTTCAAAGACAGGTTTCCCATTAATGAAAAAAAGCACTTTTCAAAACTTATTTGAAATTATGTATAAAAATAAAAAGCTGAAATATCCCTCTACCCTGATATAATTGGTTTTCATATTATGCAGTATGGCACATATTGATATTATCTTAATGACATTTAACAGAATTTATATCAACATTTCAGGAAAAAACATTATTTCATGCCATAAAATAATCCTAGTTAAGTTATTAAGTCGTGTTATTAGCAATGTATAATAAAATAAGTTTATTATTTTATTAAGTTAATGAGATAAACCATTGTCAGCAATAATTGAGCACATTATATATGCCAACAATCTCTATTAAGCATTCCAATTTTCCAATGAAGTTATAATTTGTTCAAAGTCACCCTGTTGAAATTCAAGCCCCAGTTAAGTCTAAGAAAGCTTTCCTTTTACTCCATGCTGCACTAACTCTCAAAGCTACATCATTTATGGTTTTTCATATACAATCCAATTAACTGAATATATCTCATATGGAATCTAAATAATGGAAAGTTTAATTATGTGTTTGAAGATCATTACTAGAAGACTTTTATAAGAAGCTTGACTTTGTAAATGATTGCAACTATAATCATGGGAATTATTTAGTACCGTTGAGTACCAGGGCACTCACTATTTGATTCTATGCTTAATTTATCTTTGTAACCTTGGTATTGTAAATACAAGGGTGTATTTATCTATGTATTTTGCTATTCGAGTTGATAGAACATTGCTAGGGAGAAGAAACCACAAATTATGAATTTTTATTTTTTCATACCAGGGTTATTGCAATGTTTAGTAATTAGCATTCGATAAATGGTTGAATTAAATTGTGAAAAAAAAAAGTTTTGATGTGTAAAATGTGGGGGGGGGTGAGTATTTATGAAGCAGGTATTTATTCTTATACTGGATTACTTTATCTTTCAGAAAAAGAGAGTATAGCAGTTTCATTTTGTTTGAAATTTCTCAGTGGGTAATCCTCATTCCATCCATTCCATTTTTTGATCTCAGGAGATTCTTTTTGACAAAATAAGCAAATCAAATTGTAACATTATATTGTTCTGTCTATAAGACTCACAATAGCTATTGAAATACTAATGCTCTCAGAAGTGATTTTATAAATTTCATCAATTAAGTTTCCATTACTTACCTGTGGCACAAATTCTTCTTTATTCATACAGTAGAAATGTGATGAATATTATGGAAAGACTCTCAGTAAAATATAATTTAATATACAATAATAGTTATATTTGTTGCCATCATACTTCAACAAACATTAGTGAAGATTATTAGTTGAATGAATACTGATTTATTTCTCAGAACCCTTGTTTTTGGACAAGAATCATCATTTTTTTTTTTTTGAAATTCTGAACTACAGGATTAGCTGTTATTGGCTTAATGTTTTCAAGGACTGCCTTAAATATACTGTCAGTAATGACTAATCCATACATGTGTATATCAATTGGATATTCAAAACAAATCTACTAAGAGCTATCTTTGAAATTTAATTGGATTATTTTTTGCCATATTTGAAGTATTCATTAGGATGAGGGAAGTTGCAAAAAGTGTGAAAATTTCCAATACTTTTTTTTTTAGTGAATTTTTCAGAATTCTGTTGTAATCTTATCTGGAGTGGTTTTTTGACCATTCAGACACACTGATTAGCCATCCTACATTTTAGTAATTGTCTCAGGAAGCTGATATATAGAACCCTATTGCAGTGGTTTCATTTCTGAAGTTAATTTAGGAACAGATTTTGTTCCTAGGATTCTGATAACAGTTGAACACATCTGTGAGATGTTGTAAATAGTCACATTTTTCTTTTATTAAGGTTTATTTATTTATTTGAAAGTCAGAATTACAGAGAGAGGGAGAGACAGAGAGAGAGAGAAAGAGAGAGAGAGTCTTCCATTCCCTGGTTCACTCCCCAAATGGCCACAACAGCCAGGGCTGGGTTAGGCTGAAGCCAGGAGCTTCATCTGGGTCTCCCATGTGGATGACCAGGGGCATTAGCAGGGAGCTGGATTGGAACAGCCAGGATCTGAACCAATGCCCATATGGCATGCCTGCACTGTGTTCAGGGGCTTTACCTGCTAAGCCACAGTGACAGCTTCAATAGTCACTTTTTTCTACCAGAAAGCTTTCATTTTTACATTTTTTCAATTCACATATTTTCAAAATTATTTTAAGATATTAAAATCTTCAATGCATTTTTAAAATATAAATTATAAAAAAAGCTTTTGCATGTTGATGTTAAGAATTTTGGAAGGCAACAGCATGGGGGAAGAGCTGTCTGCTGTTTCTTCACCAAGGCATTGTGTAGAAGAACTACTATTGCAACTTAACTTTTTCACTTACAAACTTTTCTATATTTTCATAAGTCTTATACAATATAATTCAACTATTGAGACACAATGTCTCACATGGATTTAGAATTCAAATCCTTACAATGTCATTATTCTTAGGGAAAAGGTTTCATAAATTTAAAATGACAAGAACAGTTTTATGGAATTAGATACATATTTTTCTTGATCCACTCAAAAGCTCTCCCCATACTGTAGATACCCAAGGGCAGTAGGCTCTGCTCAAGGGGGTTAGACACTTCTGTTGCAATATCACAAGAACTATTGGCTCCCACGTGTAAAAAATCAGTATAGAGCTTTCTATAGCCATCACGTGAGCTACCTAGACATAGTGCTTCTACAAACCATTTGTCAATTTAACTCTTCACTAGTTCTAAATTCATTAAATAAGTGTACTACATAAGACTACATAAGATCCTTCGTTGTTTTAAGGGCATGCAAATCAATTCTTTGCTAACTTTTACATAAAAATAACTTAGCAATTTTTAAAAAAATGTCTTTTAACTATATTTAGAATATATTCATATCCAACAAATTTTACCATGGTACAGGAAAATCTACATTGATGATTTACTTTTTTATGAGGTGGGCATCTGATATGATGATTGTAAATTTGGGTTTCCCACATCACAAATCTGAGTGACTGAGTTTCCTCCTGAGTAAGTGATAGCTACAGTGCCTGGATCCCAGCCACCAAAATTGGAAACCAGTATAGAATTCCTGGTTCTGTACTTTAACTTGATCCAGAGCCTCTCTCTCTCTTTCTGCCTTTCAAAAAATAGCAGAATAAATAAAAATATCTCTAAAATAGGCACCAGTTTTTTAAATTCAATCATCTATCATTATTTTGTCATAACAGTATAATACCTATTGAAATAAATGGAATGCTATATATATATGTGCATAAATAAAACATAAATAATATGTAAATTTAATGAGTCTTGTCTGCTTAGAAAAACTCCAGGATATTGAGAAACAATTACACATAGTATTTATGCTTTGTCCATATATTCACAGAGAGATTTAAGATTTATAATGTGTAAAATTGTCACATTAATTTTATGTGTTTATGTGACTTTCAGAGGCTAATAGATGAGGTTAATTTATTTGACCACAATATTTTCAAGAAATAAGATAATTTACCTTCTGAGTATGCAATGGTGGAGTTATAAGGAACAAGTGGGCTACTTTAGGTTTGTGGGAAGTTTATTCCAGTTGATTTAGAGAGCAGCATTCTAAAAAAAAAAAAAAAAAAAAGAAAATTAAAAATGTTCAATAATTCAATGGTCCAGATTTTTTACAAAATGAATACTTCTTAAGCTCTAGCCATTATATATAATTTTTCACCTTCTTGTGTTAATGAAGATTAACTTGCTATATAAAAAAGTCAACTCTAGGTTATATGGGCTACAGTATACAAAAATAAGAATAACATTTAGGGTTTTGTGGTTAAATTAACTTAAAGTGAATAGATTTGAAGAAAACGTTAATGCATTGGGACAAAGGCTCATTGACATGGGTAGCCAGCTATGATTTAAAAAGTAGTATGATGATAATCCTGAGTGGAAGGAAGATGGCGAAATAGAGAGGGAGGGAGCACAGCGAAGCTCCACTAAGGGAAGGTTCAAAGAGGGATGAAAATTTGTAGTTTTTAAGCCCTTCCTGAAACTGGGGTGTTAGGGTGGACACGCGAGGAGGACGCGGACGCCTGAGACTCAGGACACCAGCAGGAGCGTGTATGCACCAGCGCTGGAAGCCGAGGTGAGACGGGGCGCTCGCCCAGCACTGTGGCACAGCTGCCGCCACCCCTCTCCCAACACATCCTGGGACGGACACTGAGACATGCACGACTGAGTGGGGGAGGAAATAGAAAACGGAATAGAGTGAGTGGCGCCGGCGGAGAGAGTGCACGATTCAGGGACACTAACTGAGAGACTGAGTAAGCCAATGTCTCTTGGCGCCTCCCCGGCGCTCCAGCGGGCGGGAAGCAGCCATTTTGTTTGTTTACATTCGGGCTTAAAGGAGAACTATCTTTGCCTCTACACTAACCTTCAGAGGCGGAACCCAAAGGTGGAGCTGAGGGTGCTCAAGGGAGGGCAACCCAAAGCCCTGAGACCGACTACTCAAGTTACTGAATAGCGCCTCCTGGTGGGGAAAAAGCACAGGATCCAGAGCTGCAGTGAGCAGAGAGCAGCCATCCTGTCTGTTTACCTGCGGGTTGTGTAGAGCAGCCTGGTTACACCGGATATTGGTAGAGACTCACAGCAGCCTATAGTAGAGGGAAATCAACCCAAAAAATCACCCAGACGGAATGCCAAAAAACAAAACCAAAAACCAAAAAAATATAGAAGATAATATAAATTTGCCAATGGAGCAGGCTAAACCAACCATAACAGAGGCAGAAGAAGAAGTTGAAAACATGCCAGAAAAAGAATTCAGAAAATTAATAATCAGAATACTTAGAAATAATGAGAAGCAGTGTCAAGAGCTGAATGAAAAACAAGCCCAAAGATTAGAGATCCTAAAGAGAAGCCAGAATGAGATACTAGAACTGAAAAACTCAATTGACCATATAAAAAACACCGTGAATCCCTCAGAAATCGAACAGATGAAATAGAAGACCGAATATCAGAATTCGAAGACAAACTTCCAGAAATAATACAGTCAGTTCAATCGCAGGAAGAAGAAATTAAAAAATTAAAAAATACGGTCGGAGACCTACAAGATTCAATCAAACGGTGTAATGTTCGGATAATAAGAGTCCCTGAGGGGGTGGAAAGAGAGAATGGATTAGAAGGTGTCTTCAACGAAATAATATCAGAAAACTTTAAACAAAGGCAGCTGGATAACAACACACAAATACAACAGATAGCCAGGACTCTGAACAGAGTAGACCAGAAGAGAAATTCACCATGACACATTTTGGCAACACTCAGTTCAGTGACACACAAAGAACAAATCCTAAAATGTGCCAGAGAAAAGTGACAAATCACATTCAGGGCTAAGTCAATCAGACTCACCCCAGACTTCTCATCGCAAACACTACAGGCAAGGAGACAATGGCATGATATATTTCAAGTTTTAAAAGACAAACAATGCCAACCTAGAATACTATATCCTGCAAAGCTATCATTTATGAATGAAGGGGAAATAAAGATCTTCCATGACAAACAGAAACTGAAAGAATTTGTATCCACGCGTCCAACCCTACAACACTTGCTCAAAGACGTGCTGCACACAGAAATACAAAAACAAGAACTTCACTGCAAAAAAAAGCGAATGTAGAGTAACCCACAAACAAAGTTCAAAATACATAAACAGCTCATTTCAGGAAACATGAAGGGGAAAAGACAGTACTTAACAGTAATCACATTGAATGTGAATGGTCTTAATTCCACGACAAAGAGACATAGACTAGCTGATTGGATCAAAAAAGAGAATCCAACTATATGCTGCCTTCAGGAGACACACCTCATCAGCAAAGATGCACGCAGACTGAAAGTGAAAGGATGGAAAAAGATACTCCAAGCTAATGGAAATCAAAAAAGAGCTGGTGTGGCCATCCTAATATCAGACAAAATAGACTTTAACATAAAAACTATTAAAAGAGACAGAGAAGGGCACTATATAATGATTAAAGGATCTATCCAACAGGAAGACATTACTATTATAAATGTATACACACATAATTACAGGGCGCCTGGCTACCTGAAAGAATTACTAAAGGATTTAAAGAGAGATATAGACTCAAATACAATAGTAACAGGGGACTTCAACACCCCACTCTCACCAATGGACAGATCAACCAGACAGAAATTCAACAAGGAAACAACTGAGCTAATTGACACCATAGACCAAATAGACCTAATAGATATCTTCAGAACCCTCCACCCCACAGACACAGAGTTCACGTATTTCTCCCCAGTACATGGAACATTCTCTAGGATTGACCATATACTAGGCCATAAAGGGAGCCTCAACAAGTTCAAAAAAATTGAAACTACCATGCAGCTTCTCAGACCATAGTGCAGTGAAACTTGAAATCAACAACCCAAGAATCTCTACACCATATGCAAATATATGGAGAATGGACAACATGATCCTAAATGAACAGTGGGTCATCGAAGAAATTAAAAGAGAAATCAAAAGATTTCTAGAAACAAATGAAAATGATAATACAACCTATCAAAACCTGTGGGACACAGCAAAAGCAGTGCTAAGAGGAAAGTTTATAGCAATTAGTGCCTACATCAAGAAGCTGGAAAGGAACCAAACAAATGAACTCTCCATGCACCTTAAGGAACTAGAAAAACAGCAGCAAATCAAGCCCAAATCCAAAAGGAGGAAAGAAATACTAAAGATCAGAGAAGAAATAAACAGAATTGAAACCAAAAAAACAATACAAAAGATCAACAAAACCAGGAGCTGGTTCTTTGAAAAAATAAACAAAATTGACACACCATTGGCCCAACTAACCAAAAAAAGGAGAGAGAAGACCCAAATCTGTAAAATCAAAGATAGTAATGGAAATGTAACAACTGACACAATAGAAATAAAAAGAATCATCAGAAACTACTACAAAGAGATGTATGCTAACAAATTGGGGAACCTGGAAGAAATGGATAGATTCCTGAACAAATGCAACCTTCCTAAACTGAGCTGTGAAGATATAGAAAATCTAAACAGACCCATAACCATGGAAGAAATTGAATCTGTAATAAACGCACTACCGAAAAAGAAGAGCCCAGGACCGGATGGCTTCACTGCCAAATTTTACCAGGCATTTAGAGAACAACTAACCCCAGTTCTTCTCAAATTATTCCAAACGATTGAAAGAGGGGGAATCCTCCCAAATTCCTTCTACGAAGCCAATATCACCTTAATTCCTAAGCCCGGAAAAGACACAGCAGAGAAAGAAAACTACAGACCTATCTCCCTGATGAACATAGATGCAAAAATACTCAATAAAATTCTGGCAAACCGAATCCAACTACACATCAGAGAGATCATTCACCCGGACCAAGTGGGATTTATCCCTGGTATGCAGGGATGGTTCAATATTCGAAAGTCAATCAATGTAATCCAGCACATTAACAAATTGAGAAACAAAAATCATATGGTTATCTCAATAGATTCAGAGAAAGCATTTGACAAAACAACACCCCTTCATGATGAAAACCCTAAGAAAATTGGGGTTAGAAGGAACATTCCTCAACACAATTAAGGCAATCTATGATAAAACAAAGGCCAGCATCATATTGAATGGGGAAAAGTTGGAGGCATTTCCATTGAAAACTGGCACCAGACAGGGATGCCCACTCTCACCATTGCTATTCAATGTAGTCCTAGAAGTCTTAGCCAGAGCCATCAGGCAAGAAAAAGAAATTAAAGGGATACAAATGGGAAAGGAGGAAGTCAAACTATCCCTGTTTGCAGATGACATGATACTATATATAGGGGACCCAATAAACTCCTATAAGAGACTATTGGAACCCATAGAAGAGTTTGGTAAAGTAGCAGGATACAAAGTCAACGCTCAGAAATCAACAGCCTTTGTATACACAGACAATGCCAGGGCCGAGGAAGAACTACTAAGATCAATCCCATTCACAATAGCCACAAAAACAATAAAGTACCTTGGAATAAATTTAACCAAGGAGGTCAAAGACCTCTATGATGAAAATTACAAAACACTAAAGAAAGAAATAGAAGACGACACAAAAAAAATGGAAAAACCTGCCATGCTCATGGATTGGAAGAATCAATATCATCAAAATGTCCATTCTCCCAAAAGCAATTTGCAAGTTCAATGCAATACCAATCAAAATACCAAAGTCATTCTTCAAAGACTTAGAAAAAACGATGCTGAAATTCATATGGAGAAACAGGAGACCCAGAATAGCTAAAGCAATCCTTTACAATAAAAACAAGGCCGGAGGCATCACAATTCCAGACTTCAAGGCATACTACAGGGCAGTTATAATCAAAACAGCCTGGTACTGGTACAAAAACGGATGGATAGACCAATGGAACAGAATAGAAACACCGGAGATCAATCCAAACATCTATAACCAACTCATATTTGACAAAGGACCTAAAACCAACCCCTGGAACAAGGACAGCCTCTTCAACAAATGGTGCTGGGAAAACTGGATGTCCACATGCCGCAGTATGAAGCAAGACCCCTACCTTACACCTTATACAAAAATCCACTCAACATGGATCAAAGAACTAGAGATGCGCCACGACACCATGAAACTAATTGAGAGCATAGGGGAAACCCTTCAAGATATCGGAATAGGCGAAGAATTCCTGGAGAAGACCCCACAGGCATGGGTAATCAAAGATAAAATAAACAAATGGGATTACCTAAAATTGAAGAGTTTCTTAACAGCAAAGGAAACAGTCAGGAAAGCGAAGAGGCAACCAACAGAATGGGAGACGTTATTCGCAAACCACACAACAGATAAAGGATTAACAACTAGAATCTACACAATGATCAAAAAAACCACAAAATCAAAACAAACAACCCAATAAAAAAATGGGCCAAGGACCTTAACAGACATTTTTCAAAAGAGGAAATCCAAATGGCCAACAGGCACATGAAAAAATGCTCAGGATCCCTAGCCATCAGGGAAATGCAGATCAAAACCACAATGAGATACCACCTCACTCCGGTTAGATTGGCTTACATACAGAAATCAACCAACAACAGATGCTGGCGAGGATGTGGGGATAAAGGGACACTAACCCACTGTTGGTGGGAATGCAAACTGGTAAAGCCACTATGGAAGACAGTCTGGAGAGTCCTCAGAAACCTGAATATAGCACTACCACAGGACCCAGCCATCCCACTCCTTGGAATATACCCAAGTGGAATTAAAGGGGTGAAAAAAGCCATTTGCACCTCAATATTTGTTGCAGCTCAATTCACAATAGCTAAGACATGGAATCAACCTAAATGTCCATCAACGGATGACTGGATAAAGAAACTATGGGATATGTACTCTATGGAACACTATACAGCAGTAAAAAAACAATGAAATCCGGGCATTTACAACAAAATGGAGGAAGCTGGAAAACATCATGCTGAGTGAAATAAGCCAGTCCAAAAGGGATAAATATCACATGTTCTCCCTGATCGATGGCAATTAAACGAGCACCTAAAATGATACCCATTGAAGTGAAATGGACACTATGAGAGACAATGACATGAGCAGCCCTTGTCTAGACTGTTGAGGAAAAACTTACTATTTTGTTCCTTTAGTATTTTTGTTGTTGTTGTTGTTGTTGTTGCTCGGTTTGCTCTACACAAGACCACTGGTTGAACTCTGCAATCAATGCACAACCATTCTTAAGCATTTAAAAATTAACAGAAAATTGATCTCTGTGAAACATAGGAGTGGGAATAAGAGAGGGAGGAGATATATAGGACGGCACATACTCACTCAGACCTACCTCCAATGGTGGAACTAGAAATGTGCCAGGGGATTTCAACTCAACCTTACCAAGGAGGCAGGTACCAATGCCAGCAAACTTGGTAAAGTGATAAATATAAATACACAACTGATCAAAAAGATAGGGTAAGCGTCGAAGAGATTACACAAATAAGACCAGTGTAAGCAAATAATGAAGGACAGAATTAAAAGGGAGAGAACGATCCTGCAGGGGAAACAGGACACACAGCAGACTCATAGAATGGCAAATGCCCAAAACAGCACTCCTGCCTCAGAATCAACCCTTGGGACATTCGGATCTGGCTAAAAGGTCCATGAGAGTCTCACAGGCATGGAAAGCCATGACACGCTGGCAAAAAACAATCTAAATGAATGATCCTGGTGAACAAGACCCCAGCAGAAGGAACAGGCCATCAAGAAGAGAGGCGCCTTTCTCTGAAGGGAGGAAGGAACCTCCACTGTGATATGGCCTGGACTAAACAAATTCAGAGTTGGTGAACTCAAGGGGCTTCCATAGCCTAGACAGCTCATAGCAAGAGTCTCGGGTGATTGCTGACGTCATAAATAAGAGTGCCAATTGTTAAATCAACAATGGGAGTCACTGGGTTCATGCTCCCCTCGCAGGATCTCTGTCCTTAATATGTTTATCTATGAAACTCAAAAACAACACTACTAGTCGAACAATATCCTATACCTGGTTCAGTTGTGTGAGTGCAACCTGTTGAAATCCCTGCTTAGTATATACTAAATTGATCTTCGGTATATGAAGGTAACCGAAAATGAAACGTGATGAAGGGGGGGGAGGGGAGAGGAAGTGGGTGAGGGGAGGGCCACGGAGGGAGGGAGGTCGGGGGGAAGCCACAACAATGCAAAAGATGCCTTTTATATTCTACTTAAAACTATTCGTTGAGCTCTGTAATTAATACACTATTACTCTTAGGTGTTTAATTAATGCTATAACTAGTACTCAAATAGTATTTTACACTTTATGTTTCTGTGTGGGAGCAAAATGTGGTAATCTTTACTTAACATACGCTAAATTGATCTTCTGTATATAAAGATAATTGAAAATTAATTGTGATGTGAAGGGGAAGGGGAGAGGGAGTGGGAGAGGGGAGCGTTGTGGATGGGAGGGAAGACACGGGGTGGGGGAGGAGGCTATTGTGGTCCATAAGCTGTACTTTGGAAATTTATGCTCATTAAATAAATTAAAAAATAAATAAAAAGTAGTATGATATAATCACACTAAGCTGATCATGATGATTATTCACTTATTCATTATTTCCAATCCAGCTCCCGGCTAATACATCTGGGAAAAGCAGGGGAGGATGGCCCAAGTGCTTGGGCCCCTGCACTGGGAGATCGGTAAGAAGATCCTTGCTTCTGGCTTCGTCCTGGTCCAGCCCTGGTCAAAGCGTCCATTTTGGGTGAACCAGCAGATGGAAGACCTCTGTCTCTCTCTCTCTCTCTGTCTTTAAAATAAATAAAATAAATCTATTGTAAGTTAAGATATGTTCACAGCAATCACGAAGTACTCCCAGTTGAAAGAGGTATTGTGTATATCTGATATTCAGTGATTAAAAAAAAACCTTAATATTTCACCAAAGTTTTTTTTAAGTCACAGTATGTGAAACTTTGAGGAAGAGTTACTTCCTATCTCTGGAAAATTTTCCTTAATGGTGTTCATCTATTCATCACATAGTTGAAACAGCAGTTATATTATTAACACACAATTATTCTTACGTGTTTAAATTTTAACTGAAAAGTGATCCCTGTTAGGAATATGGAAAAAATTATGCTGAGTGAAATAAGCCAATCCCAAAGGGACAAATACCACTTGTTCTCCTTGATAGGTGAAAACTAACTGAGCACCAAAAAGGAAACCTGTTAAAGTCAAATGAACACTATGAGAAATGGTGACTTGATCAGCCCTCACCCTGACTGTTGATGAGCAACTTGATATGATATCCCTCTTAGTATTTTTTGTTTGTTTGTTCTACTTAATACTTTTGGTTGAATACTGTAGTCAATACACAATTCTTCTTAAGTGCTGAAACTTAACTGAAAAGTGATCACTGTTAAATGTAAGAGTGGAAATAAGAGAGGGAAGAGATGTGCAATTCGGGACATGCTCAAGCTGACTTACCTCAAACGGTAGAGTTAGAAACATACCAGGGGATTCTAATTCAATCCCATCAAGGAGGCATGTACCAATGCCATCTCACTAGTCCCAGTGATCAATTTCTGTTCACAATTGATCGTAGTGATAGGACTAAGAACCAAAGGGATCACAGAAACAAAAATAGTTTCTGCAAATACTAGCTGATAGAATCAAAAAGGGAGAGAATGATCCAACATGGGAAGTGAGATACACAGCAGACCCATGGAATGGCTGATGTCCTAAACAGTACTCTGGCCTCAGAATCAGCCCTTAAGGCCTTTGGATATGGCTGAAAAGCCCATGAGAGTATTTCGGCATGGAAAGCCAAGACACTCTGGCAAAAAAAAAAAAAAAAAAAAAAAAAAAAAAAAAAAAAACACAACTAAATGCAAGATCTCCACGAGTGAGATCCCAGTGGAAAGAATGGGTCATCAAAGAAGGAAGTACCTTTCTCTGAAGGGAGGAAAGAACTTCCACTTTGACCATGGCCTTGTCTAAAAATGATCAGAGTCAGTGAACTCAGGGGGCTTCCATAGCCTTGACAGCTCATGACAAGAGCCTAGGGTGATTACTGAGGCCATAAACAAGAGTGTCAATTTGTTAAGTCAACAACAGGAGTCACTGTGCACTTACTCCTCATGTAGGATCTCTGTCCTTAGTGTGCTGTACATTGAGATTTAATGCTATAACTAGTACTCAAACAGTATTTTTCACTTTATGTTTCTGTGTGGGAGCAAACTGTTGAAATCTTTACTTAATGTATGCTAAACTGATCTTCTGTATATAAAGAGAAACGAAAATGAATCTTGATGTGAATGGAAGGGGAGAGGGAGTGAGAAAGGGGAGGGTTGTGGGTGGGAGGGACGTTATGGGGGGGAAGCCATTGTAATCCATAAGCTGTACTTTGGAAATTTATATTCATTAAATAAAAGTTAAAAAAAAAAAAGAAAGTTGTAAAACCAGTGAATTAAACTTATGGAGGTGTAAAAAGTCCAGGATAAAAAGCATTTCAGCTCAGTCCTGAAAGATAAGTAATAATTAGAAAGAATGATGGAAAATTTTAGGCTAAGGTTTCATTCTGGACAAAGGCACAGAGATTTTCTCGAAAGTCTGCGCCATGCCCAATTAGATGGGACTAGTGGTTATATGAAAAAAGTAGTTACAGATGATAAGGAATGCGGGCTTGCAGACAGATCATGAAGAGATCTGTATGCCATAGAAATAATTTTAAACTTTATTTAGTGCATGAAGGTAAGTCTAATAACATTTTCTTTAAATCACTATAATATTTAGTGAATACTCTATAGACGAAGGCACAAAGGAAAAACAAATGAAAATGTAGGTACTATTTCAAACAACAATTGCATTCGAATATTGATATGGGACTAAGAGATGCAGGATTGGATTTAAAAAAAAAAATAAGTATTTTATTTATTTATTTGAAAGAGAGACAGAATGATTTCACTCCAGTCCACGGGTTCACCTCACAGATCCCAGCATCATCTAGTTCTGGACAAAGGATAAAGTCAGGAGCCAAGAATCAATTTGAGTGTCCCACACGGATGGCAAGAACCCTGTTACTTGAGCCATCACCTCTGCCTTCCAGTATATGCACTAGCAGTAAGCTGGAGCTGGAGTTGAGAATTAAACCTAGACACCCCAATGTGGAGTATAGGTATCTTCCAATATTTTTTTCATTTAATTTGAAAGGAAGAGAAGGGTGTGTGTGTGTGTGTGTGTGTGTGTGTGTGTGTGTCTAAGGGAAAGAGAGAGAGAGAGATTTTCCATTTGCTGGTTCACTCCTCAAACTCCTACAATAGCCAGCCCTGGCCCAGGCAGAAGTTAGGAGCCTGGAACTCCATCTGGTTCTCCCACATGGATGGAAGCACTCAAGTACTTGAGTCATCATCTGCTGCCTCCTAGAATGGATATTAACAGGAGGTTGAATTTCAAGCAAAGAAACTGAGACTTGAAATAAGCACTCCAATGACGGATGCTGGCATTCCAAGTGTTGATTTAAGCCAATGTACCAAATGCCCACATCAGAAATATGTGTTTCTTAATTGTTATGCTACTCTTAGTTTTGAATTTTTATGATGATACACATGATACATCCAAGTTCTGGATGCAACTGCACAGGACAGCATGATTTACTCTGCAGTTCATCAAAGTTGTATCTGCAAGAAGTCAGTATATGTTTGAGGCTTTGAGATCTGTACATTCTCTGTTACTATTCTGCTAGTGTAGTACAACAACAGCCACAATCAATACATAGAAGAATGCTTGCATTTAATTCAATAAAATATTTTTACAAAAAATGGTTGGCAGATCCTTTTTGTCCCGTAAGTGAAACTTCTAGGTTGTTAAATTAGAAAATAAAGGTGATCTGGAATTTTTTGTTAGCCAATGTTGAAGAAAGGCCAGCATAATACAGCATCTCTCTGTAGATTTCAAGAAATGTCACTGCTGACACTATTGCAAATTTAGGAGTTCCCAAGACCATCCACAGGTTCAGTAATTCACAGTAAAGACTAACAGTTTACTAAGCTGTCATACTCAGATTTTTTTTACAATAAAAGAACACAGATGGTAATTAGCCAAGGGAAAAGGTACATGTTGGCAGACTCTGCAAAAGTTGCAAGTATGAGACTTCCAGTTATGCTCTCCCAGCAAAGATGTAGACACCACTACCTCCTACAAGCCGTTATGTGTGCACAGATTTCTGCCTACCAGAGAAACTCACCTGAGCCTTGATGTCCAAAGTTGTATTGAGGTTTAACACAGGCTCCATTCACTGATTACATAGCTCACCTGAGTTCCTAGGACCAAGAAAGGTTAAGTTAAAATGTTAAGACCCAAAGTACTGTACATAAGTCACATTGCTAGCAGAAGCACTTTGAATGACCAAGACCAGTAAGTAAATAAAACTGTGCCTATCAGAAAGGACATTTAAAGGGTTTAGAGGACTGTCTTCCAGCAGTTGAGGGCAAATGATAGCCTTTTCTTGGGGCAAGTTTGTTTGTTTTTAGATTTATTTCTTTGAAAGGCAGAGAAAGAGAGAGACAGAGGAGAGAGAGAGAGAGATCTATCTTCCACCCATTACTTTTCTCCAAATGCCCACAACAGTCAGAGATGAGTCAGGCCAAAGCCAGGAGTTAGGAATTCCATCCATGTCTCCCACATGGGTGGCAGGAACCTAAGCATTTGGACCAGTATCTGCTGCCTCCCTGGTGCATGAGCAGAAAGATGAGTAGGAAGTGGAGGTTAGAGTTGAACTGGCATTCCCATACCGCTCCAGGTATGCCATGTGGTGGCTTAACCCATTTACTAGAATACCACCCCAGGAAGATCAATTCTTGGATACATTAGTTTACATTTTTTCCTAGGGTTGCTTGAACAAAGAACTGCTGAGCAGGTGACTGATAACATTGCAACTTGTCTCATGGTTCTACAGGTCAAAAGTCTCATTGAATGCTCCCCTCAGTAGGGTCTAGAAGTTGATCTGTTCTGTGCTCTTCTCTTAGATTTGGGAAGCATTATAGATTCCACGGTTAGTAGATAACCATGCTTTCCTTGTGTTTCTTCATGGCATTTTCCTTCTGAGAAATTTCCTCTGTCTATATTTCTGCTTTTTGTAAAACATTAGACAGATTGGAGTAGATCCTTCCCTTATGACCTTTTTTAACTCAATTCTGCAAAAGTGTTATTTTTAAATAAGCTTACACTCTGAGGTACTTGGGGTTAGAATTTTCACATATTTAGAACAATTGAATTCATAAAAAAAACCCTTGGTTTGTTGAGACGATTATGTAAATTAATGTTTATAAAATGCAAACAACCAAAAATACAGTTTTTGGAATAGACCGAATACAAGAGTATTCAGATCTAAAATGTGTTAGTCAGATAATTGAGCATAACAAGATCATGTAGATAAAGATAACTGTCTTTGATATGGATGTACATAATACAAGCAGAAGGTCACAGACTGAGGAAGCAAACTATAATAAGTGTTTCGATCTTTGAAGATGGAGCAAGCACCTGTAGATCTGTGGATGATAATAAGAATAAGGTCAGACTATCATAGATGGCGTTGACTCTAAAAAACCAGGTTGTATTTCTGTGCTACTTATGTCCTTAGTTATATGAGCAATTATCACCCATTGTTGTATGCCTTCCTTGTTTGTTTATGCTGAGTAGAATATGTTTTCATGAACAGCAGAAGCCAAGTCTATGCTGACAAGAGATATACCATTGCCTGATACACAATATTCCTATATTTTTTAATGATTTGATTAAATAAATAATAGCCATCAAGCCATGAAAATGGAATGCAAAATCTCTTTCCCTCTATTGCAAATTAGGATTTAAAAATCCTTAATGTATGTAGGGAAAGATGTTAAGGGAATTGGGCAAAATTTAAACATGCTGTTGTCAAAATACAGAGAGAGATTGATCATTTATAATAAAAATTATGGAGGGAAAATACAAAATATAAAGAGAGACATTTGTGTTTAATCTGGGTCAACTTTTTTTATTTCAGGGATATTGAAATTTAGAACAAGGAACTTAAGAAGTTTGCTCATGTTTATGCAAATCATTGGAGGTCCCAAGGTTACTGCCTCAGTTTCAAATAACAGAATTTTAGAAATGAGGGAAATACATGCAAAGGTAAGTTATTTTCACTTTGTGGTGTCCAACTTCTATTTAATTTTTGACCATATGCCTTATTTAAAAAATGTAAATACTAATTTTTAACACTGTGTGTGCAGGGACACATTTGGTGCAGGTAATCAATTGATTTTCAGAGAGGTCTAATTACATAATATTCCAAGCAAAGATCTTCAATGTCAAACTGGATTGTATCTACACCAGTGAATACCATAGAATAGAAACAGATAAATAAACAGTGAACAAAATTATTTTCAATTATTTGGTTTTCTAAATCAGAAAAGCCTATGGTCTCCTAGTTTTCATTTCCAATATTTCTTTTTACAATCAACCATCCTCCCCCATTTCGAAAAATTAAAGCCAAGTTTCCATCCTAAATTTCTTTGTGGAGCATTCTCTACAGATATAAAAATCTTGGCCGGCGCCGCGGCTCACTAGGCTAATCCTCCGCCTAGCGGCGCCAGCACACCGGGTTCTAGTCCCGGTCAGGGCACCGGATTCTGTCCCGGTTGCCCCTCTTCCAGGCCAGCCCTCTGCTGTGGCCAGGGAGTGCAGTGGAGGATGGCCCAGGTGCTTGGGCCCTGCACCCCATGGGAGACCAGGAAAAGCACCTGGCTCCTGGCTCCTGCCATCGGATCAGCGCGGTGCGCCGGCCGCAGCGCGCTGGCCGCGGCGGCCATTGGAGGGTGAACCAACAGCAAAGGAAGACCTTTCTCTCTGTCTCTCTCTCTCACTGTCCACTCTGTCTGTCAAAAAAAAAAAAAAAAAATCTTGAAAACTGACCCAAAATAGGATAATTGAGAGAGTCATGCATTTGATTGAGGATCATAGAGGAGCAAAATAAGACATATTCCAGGAAAAAATACCTTATTTCATCCAGCAAAGAATCTAGGTAAATTTTCAATCTAATCTGTCTAGTAGTGTGTCATAGAATTTCATCCTGAAGAAGCAAGGTGTTTCTCTTGGGAGAATACAATAACATGTCTATGGGAAAAGAAAAATGAATTCAAACTTTTTTTCCAGACAAAAAGTTTTATTTTGCTGGTTGACCTTAAGAACTTGCTTTCTAATTCTCTTTTAGTCGTCATCCAGCATTGTGGCCCAATGGGTTAAGCTGTATCTACAATGTGGGAATCCTATATGAATGCAAGTCTGAGTCCCAGAGGCTCCATTTCAGATCTAGCTCCCTGGTAATGAACCTGGAAAAGCAGTGTAAGGTAACCCGTGTACTTGGGCGTCTGCCATACATGTGAGAGACCCAGATAGAGTTCTAGGCTTCTGGTTTTGTCATGGCCCAGCACTGACCACTGCAACCATTTGGACAGCGATCTCTCTTGCGCCTGCTTTTGTTCTCACTCTGTCTCGCACTCTTGCCTTCTCTTCTGCAACTCTGCCTTTCAAATAAGTAAATCTTATTTTTTAAAAAGGAAATAGAGCTAAACCTATGGTTCTACATTTAAAAAACTTATTCATATAAAGATAACAGATTTTATGCATTCCATAGGTACAGTTCCAATAAGACAACCACACTTCTCTTACTTCTCTGTTCCTCCCATCTCCCTTCTCTGCCTCACCTCTCTTCATCAGTTTTTGCAAAGACATCATTTTAATCCACTCTATCTTCACAGACTTAATTTGCCACTATGATAATATTCAATAAGTAAAAGGTAGGAAGGCCACGGTTCTACAGCAGTATAAACAAGAGCTAAAAGCAATATTTTAAAAGAAATTCTATTTCTACCATACAAAATAGATATTATACTTTTGAAAATATTTAAACTTATAAAATAATTAAAACTCATATTAAAATATTCTAAGGCTATAAATCATCTGTACCTATCTTGGACAGAAACAGAAATGTCTGAAACCCACAGTCTCTGGAATATTTATTAGAGACTTCTAATGTTAAAATACTGTTTTCAGGCCGGCGCCGCGGCTCACTAGGCTAATCCTCCGCCTTGCGGCGCCAGCACACCGGGTTCTAGTCCCGGTCGGGGTGCCGGATTCTGTCCCGGTTGCCCCTCTTCCAGGCCAGCTCTCTGCTGTGGCCAGGGAGTGCAGTGGAGGATGGCCCAAGTGCTTGGGCCCTGCACCCCATGGGAGACCAGGATAAGCACCTGGCTCCTGGCTCCTGCCATCGGATCAGCGCGGTGCGCCTGCCGCAGCGTGCCGGCCGCGGCGGCCATTGGAGGGTGAACCAATGGCAAAGGAAGACCTTTCTCTCTGTCTCTCTCTCTCTCTCACTGTCCACTCTGCCTGTCAAAAAAAAAAAAAAAAAAAAAAAAAAAACAAAAAAAAAAACAAAAACAAAAAACTGTTTTCAGTGTAGGCAGGAAAGCAGTAGTTGAAGACATTCTAATATCTTCTTTGTTGAAGAGACAGAAAATTCAACAAACTAAGATTTGTGAAATTTAGAAACCACAATTCCTGAGCATCTTAATATTTTGAGTATTTAGATTTTAGATGCTTCTTTATATTTTTCTCTGGAATAATTAATTTTTTCAAAGTTTGAATCCTAGAAGGAATAGGCAGACAGTTATGTCTCATGAGGCAGGGTCAGACATTCGTGTCTTATAATCAATCACATCAAAGATAACAATCAGACATTAGACAAGATTATTCCTTTTGGAAGAAAGAGAATGACAGAAAGTTTTTGTGAAACAAGGCCAGACCAATTTAACTATTAAGGCAGCCAATCTAAATGAACCCTTCTGTTTCTTTCTGAAATGTGTTGACAATGTTCATTCAGTTATGGGGAGTTACAGTGACTGCAATTATGTAGAATTTCCATCTGAAGGTTTTGAACTATGCCATGCAGGCTGTGATAATAATGAAGCTGTAGCTACCAAGGTGAACTCATCTAACTTATGCAAGATCCTTAATGTAAACAGTCTACCAAGAGAGATACATAGGCATGCAAATATTTGCAGGGGGATTTATTACATTCTCTATGGGAAAATAGATTAAAGTAGAGGAAAATGTACAGAAGTCTTTGAACAGTGAAACATTTTTACTAAACAACAGAGCTGTCAAAAGCCTTATTCCCAAGAAGTAGAGGATGATTACAGATTCCCAAGATGGCAAAGTGCATCAAATAAATTTTATCTTGTTATTTAGTGCTTAGACGAATTCTTTCTAGAAGAGTGAGAAGTATTTCCTACCATTTATAAATGCTACCTTCATCTTATTTATTTGAAGCAGCTGTTGGGAAACAATGACATTTGGAGCTAAGTTGAAGATAACAGAATTTATTAACTACAGATTTTTTGCATATTCCAACATAACACATCCACATGTGAAGTTAGTGAATTAGAAAAGACTGGTGCAAAGAACTATGTCTAGACCAAACAATCTGGAAATGATTCAATTCTAGGTATTGCACGCAGCTTCATCATTATTAACATCTTGCTAATATAGTGATCAAAATTTCTTCTGAATTCTCAAATCATATTGGATAATTTAACTGAGTTAGTTATTATTCTGATTACTCTGAAAGGCAGCTTTCTCCTTATGTTGAGCAATATGCCAACTTTTTCCCTTAAATTCACATTTTTATAGAACATTCAAGGCTAAGACATGTCCATATGAGTTTGATCATTCCAGGACAATAGACAATATTTCAATGCCTAAATAAAACAGTTTTAATTGCCAAACAAGATTTCAAGGGACTGAGCTTCATTTTAATCACAAACAAGCTGCAAGGCAATTTTCAATTACAGCAAGCTTTTTATTTTTCTCCAGCTGTGTGTCCCTGCTGATTCCTGAAATTACATGTAAGTTGTCCCAGATTTTGAAGTGGTATACCTACTGAGGTTTTTCTTTTGTCAGTTGATGAAGTATCTGTGATTAGAACTTAAATAAATTGGCATTTATAAGATGTATTACCCCACCCTGTATGTTTCAGGACATGGTGATTGAGGAAGAAGGAATTCTGAGATATCCCCCAGTGACAGGAGTGTTCCTAATTAGGCTGCTAGAGTTGCACGTACTCACCTCTTCTACAAGAACATCAAAAGATAATGTGGGAACTAAGCCCTAGAAAAAGTAATCTGTTGGGTATTAGACAATCAGGTCAGTAATGCATTGTGTTTTTAAAGTTCTACAGTGCTCCAGCTTTTAGGAAAGTTTGCTATGGAAAACTCTGGGTTTGTATGTTAGTTGTTTCATTATAAACCTGAGTGAAGGGAGAGTTGAGACAGATGCAGTTAAAATTGGAGGCCTACAGAAAAAACTAGATCTTAAGGGAAATCATAGAGAGTGTCCTGTAAAGGAACATGGGGACAAGCTAATGTAACACACAAAATTTCAGCTTGCAGTTTGATTACTAGGTCTCTGTTTCATCTTCTGTGTTACTTTGTTTATTCAATGATCATTCACTAAAGTCGTGATTGACATTATTATATGAAAAAGTTTATTACTTTTGCTAAAAATTGATATACAAAAATTCTTATGACAAAGTAGGAGAATATTTATAGAAAATGAGAAGATCAAGAACAGCCAGGCAAAACAAGGATACAAAAGACTGTAAATCAAAATAGAATACAAATATATGATAACTTTAAGATAAATTTCTGTAATTTTCTGTACAGATATGGCAGTGAAGGGCTGGCATTGTGGCATAGCAAATAAAGCTATCATTTGCAATGCTGGCATCACATATGGGTTCCTATTCATACCACAGTTGCTTCACTTCGGATCTAGCCTGCTGCTAACGGCCTGTGAAAAGCGGTGGAAGTGTTTGGGCCCCTGCCACTCACATGGAGACCAAGATGAAGCTCTTGGCTTAGCCCTGGCCTAGCAGTGATAATTACATCCATCTGTGGAGTGAACTAGTAGATTGAAGATCTCTCTCTCTCTGTAGCTCTGAATTTGGAAATAAATAAATAAATATTTAAAAAATATGCAGTAGAAAGTGGTTTATCCTAGGATGGAAGAGATAACATAAAAGCACAAAAGGAAAAAAAAAACAACAATTTTCAGTATTAGAAGTAATAACCGTTAGACACATTTTTGAAAAAAATGCTATATTGTGTATACTTGTGAAGTATTTATCCTCACAACACTGGAAGCCATTGGATACATTTAACAACAGCATGCTATAGATAGATAGATAGACAAATCTTCAGAAAAGTAATTAAGATATAATAACAGGGCATATTAGAAATTAGAAAATGGGGGGCCGGTGCTGTGGTGCAATGGGTTAATGCCCTGGCCTGAAGCGCCGACATCCCTTATGGGTGCTGTTTCGAGACCCGGCTGCTCCACTTCCTATCCAGCTCTCTGATATGGCCTGGGGAAGCAATAGAAGATGGCCCCCAAGTCCTTGGGCTCCTGAACCCACATGGGAAACCTGGAAGAAGCTCCTGGCTCCTGTTTTTGGATTGGCACAACTCCCAATTGCGGCATCTGGGGAGTGAACCGACGAATGGAAAACCTCTCTCTGCCTCTCCTCTCTCTGTAGCTCTGTCTTTCAAATAAAATAAACAAATCATTTTTTAAAATAAACAAGTTAGAAAATGGGAACAAGGAAGCCCCTTAGGGTGGGATCTTGCTATCATTCAGAGTTATTTAATGGCCTGTGTAGGTGTCGACTGTGAGACTTAAAGACACTGTAGGTGTTGACTGTAGGATCTGAGGATAACGGTTTAAAATTGGAAAGGGTGTAAGGAAATGAGCTGGAAAGACGTGTTGATGGGTTGGATAACATGCAAACTAATTAGGAATGGCATTGGCTTGAATTTAAAAATCCTATACCTATAATTATTTTCCTTGTAATAAACTGTCTTGACCAAAGATCAAGAATTAGGGGACAAACAAAAACAAGCAAAAATTATGTTATGTCTTCCTTTTTACAAGTCATGATTTTCAAGATGCAGAAAGAATAACCAGTTTTCTTATACCCAACTTATTTTTTCTATCAAGTTTCTCTACTCATTAACACAGCAGCGTCAGTGACAATGACAACTTCAGAGCTACCCTAAGAACACTGGCATCCAGACTGTGTGAAGATTTACACATTCTTAAGAGGGTTTCTTAACACTGAAGCCAGCTAATTTAACTTTGCACAGTGCTGGACATGTTTGTGAATTTTAATGTATACCATTTTTAAAAAAAATTCAAAATGATCCACAACCTTCTTACACTATTGCTGTGTTTACATTAATTCTAGTTTTCATGTGACTGCTCATCTTATCCTTTCTAATCATGCATATCATACATAAATTTCATATCTCACTATCTCCATTGATCTCTGTTGGCGTATATTTCTTTTTCTTATAAAAGCATATGTTAATTAAGTGTCTATGGTGTCTTAAGGTATACCAAATAAAACAGACAGCATAAATGACCAGGGAGGTTGTTAATGACAGCCAATGCATGTGGCGTCCCCAGTAGAAAAGGAACCAAATCAGCTTAATTACTGCTGATGTATATTTTGAATAACTATTTCAGTCTTCATTTCATATTATTATTGTGGTCAAATTATGTAAGTAATTACCCTTTTAGAAAATGAACACATAAGGAGCAAACATTGTGGTGGAACAGTTAAATTTGCCACCTGCAGCACCGGCATCCCATATAGGTGCCAATTCAAGTCCTGGCTGCTCCTCTTTGATACAACTTCTTGCTAATGTGCCTGGGAAAGAAGCAGAAAATAGCCCAATTCCTGAGGCCCCTGCTGCACACATGAGAGACCCATAGGAAGTTCCTGGCTCCTGGCTTCAGACTGGCCTAGCCCAGACTCAGGTCATTTGGGGCGTGAGCCAGATAATGGAAGATCTCACTCTGTCTGCCCCTCTCTCTGTAACTCACCCTTTCAGATAAATATATAAATCTTTACAAAAAAGAATACACAAGTGACAAATGAAATATATGTACATATAGATTTAGGCAAATAACCATATTGTTACTGAAGGAGACAATGGCCAATCTGTAACATCTGTCTTTTGGGAAAGGAAAGGTAAAACCCAAATCTGCCTCTTGATTGTGGGCCTGGGGTAAGATTTAAGGAAATAGAAAAGATAAATAAGTAGGTGGGCACATCAATAGATCAGTTTCTGAATGGGGCTTCCTTTAGCAAGAGCATGCATGGATAGTTCAAGGAGTCCAATCAGTGGACACTGTCATCTGTAGTGCTCTTCATTTCTTTAAGTAGTCTGGCTCTTCTGTTTCCTTTTATCCTCCTGTTTGGGTTTCCTTGAGGAGGCTGGGAGCACAAGGTTGATTGTGGGGTCACCTGTGGGTCATGTTTCTCCTTTTGGCATTTGTGGCTGGGTGGTCACTCTCAGACTAGTTGAAAAGTTTAAGCCAGCTTGATGATGAAATTGTAAAAATCAACCTAAGAAACTGATTTATTAACCTGACTTTTATGGCTGGAAAGACTGTTAAAGACTAGGTCGGGGAAAAGAGAAGGAAACACAGCAGGAAGCTTTTGAGTTCAAGTTGAAGAGAAGAATCCATGAAAAGGGCAACAAGGTGGTTTCAGTAGCAGGCCTTAAGAATGTGAGAGCACTGAAGATCAAAGTGGGATTACAAGAGACAGGAAAGCCTCAAGAAATCACCGGTCATCTGGCATACGTTAGACCATATCAATTTTGACCCTAATGTCTACAAGAAAACTATTTTTCTCTTTATAGCCCTAGCCAATGTCCCATTGTTTCTCTAAATTTTTTTCCAGTAAATTTAGTTCCTATAATTAATTCAGCCTTCAGGCATATTTAAAGAGAAAACTTAAAATTAATAAATTGTGATTTATAAAACAGTGTTTATTGGTATTTTATTTTAAAAACATTGTCTCTGATATTACTTCATGATTCTCGTGTACTTATTTTATATCAAATGTGAATAGGCATTTGATGCACATCCCAATTCACCTAGATTTAAATCTCATGAAAAATAACCTAAAACTTTAATATAATCACAAATGTTGGTGATTTGTTCAAAATGTTTGCTTTCTTCCTTAATTGACATGTTCTGCAAAATCTCAATCAAGTATTTTTCATTAATGTAATGCACATGAAAGTCAATTTTTTGTTTCTTTATGTAAATATAAAATGAATCTCCACAAGAGTTAGCTTTAACTAAATCAGCTTACTATGGTTTTGAAGTTTATATTTCACTGCTAGACCTGATCTGTTTGTGAATATTTCCATGAGGTACTTTAATAAGTGGTTCCTGTTAACTGTCGTTATCACAGCAGCCATGTGATTCCCCAGTTGCTCCTGGCTTCCTAACCACCATTCACAGTAGACAACAGCAGGAACTTAACTTTCAAGCCTAGAATATAAGCCTGGGATCAGGTGATTCAAGGAGAGGAAACACCTGTCAAATTTGGACTAGGATGAGCACTAATTGTGAAAATAAAAATGCGTCTAAGTAGCATATGTATTGAAACATGAAGTAATGGACATTGATGAACACAAAGGAGATGTGATTTTTTTTATATATAAAAGACATCACTTCAACTCTAAACGCACCACTGATTATCTAAAAGAGAATGCAAAGACCTCAATTACCTCCATTCCAACATGTGAAGAGTAAAAGCCCTTAGACATATTTATAACAACTGTTAAAAATCTAGAAAAGTGAAAAACAATGTTGTTTGTCTTGTTTTGTTTTAATCCATCAGAAGAAAGATTAAAGGGAAAAGTGCAATCACAAAATCTGGAACTACAGGGAATCAAGATAATCACAGAGCAATCTGTGTAACTGGAGGAGAGGTTACTGAAGCCATTCCCTGGTAGGATTAATGAAATATTAGTCTTGATAAATTACTGGAGGATGAGAATGAGTGTGAGAAATTTTGGGGGCTAAAGATTTAGGGGCACTCCCACACTGCTGTGATTTCCCTCTAGGAACCCAACCAACTTTTCATAGTGAAGAGCCAACTAAGCAGCCCTCTAGGCTTTACAGATGGAGAGGGAGAATAATAATTGGAAAATTAATACTGAGTATTCTCCATAACAAAGTCTTACTCTCCTAGAAAAACATTACTGCACCTCAATCCTTCTGCTGGACATTTTTCAAATTCCATCTCCATACAGACTTCCTTTTTTTAACCTATCAAGTTGAAGGCAGCTGACTAAAAGCTAGAAAACAATAGTGAAGGACACATCTAAGGGACTCAGGTTCATTAAATACTGGCATTTAATCACAGGATAAAAGGAATGAATGCTTTTCACTTTATCCCTTACGTTTTCTATCTGAGAGAAAATGGAGCGGGCTGGTCCAGGGTTTGAACCCGGGACCTCTCGCACCCGAAGTAAGAATCATACCCCTAGACCAATGAGCCGCACCAAAGGGGAAACTTGTTGAAGTGAAATGGACACTATGAGAAACAGTGACTTGATCAGGTCTTGTCCTGACTGTTGATGTACAATGTAATACTTTATCCATTTTAGTATTTTTTTTTTTTTGTTCTAGTACCATTGGTTGAACTCTGTAATTAACACCCAATTATTCTTAGGTGTTTAAATTTTAACTGAAAAGTGATCCCTGTTAGGAATATGGAAAACATTATGTTGAGTGAAATAAGCCAATCCCAAAGGGACAAATACCACTTGTTCTCCTTGATAAGTGACAACTAACTGAGCACCAAAAAGGAAACCTGTTAAAGTGAAATGAACACTAGGAGAAACGGTGACTTGATCAGCCCTCACCCTGACTGTTGATGAGCAACTTGATATGTTATCCCTCTTAGTATTTTTTTGTTTGTTCTACTTAATACTTTTGGTTGAATACTGTAGTCAATACACAATTCTTCTTAAGTGCTGAAACTTAACTGAAAAGTGATCGCTGTTAAATATAAGAGTGGGAATAAGAGAGGGAAGAGATGTGCAAATCGGGACATGCTCAAGCTGACTTACCTCAAACGGTAGAGTTAGAAACATACCAGGGGATTCCAATTCAATCCCATCAAGGTGGCATGTACCAATGCCATCTCACTAGTCCCAGTGATCAATTTCTGTTCACAATTGATCATAATGATAGGACTAAGAGACAAAGGGATCACATAAACAAGAATAGTGCCTGCAAATACTAGCTGATAGAATCAAAAAGGGAGAGAATGATCCAACATGGGAAGTGAGATACACAGCAGACCCATGGAATGGCAGATGTCCTAAACAGCACTCTGGCCTCATAATCAGCCCTTAAGGCATGCGGATACGGCTGAAATGCCCATGAGAGTATTTCGGCATGGAAAGCCAAGACACTCTGGGGAAAAAAAAAAAAAAAAAAACTAAATGAAAGATCTCTGTGAGTGAGATCCCAGTGGAAAGAATGGGTCATCAAAGAAGGAGGTACATTTCTCTGAAGGGAGGAGAGAACTTCCACTTTGACCATGGCCTTGTCTAAAAATGTTCAGAGTTAGTGAACTCAGGGGGCTTCCATAGCCTTGACAGCTCATGACAAGAGCCTAGGGTGATTACTGAGGCCATAAACAAGAGTGTCAATTTGTTAAGTCAACAACAGGAGTCACTGTGCACTTACTCCTCATGTAGGATCTCTGTCCTTAGTGTGCTGTACATTGAGATCTAATGCTATAACTAGTACTCAAACAGTATGTTTCACTTTATGTTTCTGTGTGGGAGCAAACTGTTGAAATCTGTACTTGATATATGCTAAACTGATCTTCTGTATATAAAGAGAATCAAAAATGAATCTTGATGTGAATGGAAGGGGAAGGGGGAGTGGATAAGGGGAGGGTTGCGGGTTGGAAGGACGTTATGGGGGGAAGCCATTGTAATCCATATTCTGTACTTTGGAAATTTATATTCATTAAATAAAAGTTAAAAAAAAAGAAATAGATATACAGAAAGCAAAATAATTCCAGAATGAATATTAAAGCTTATTATAAATCAAAAAAAAAAAAAAAAAAGCAATGAATGGAGGCCAGCATTGTGGCTCAGTAGGCTAATCTACCTGCAGCTCCAGCATCCCATTTGGACATTGGTTCTAGTCCCAGCTGCTCCTCTTCTGATCGAGCCTTCTGCTAGGGCCTGGGAAAGCAGTAGAAGATGGCACATGTCCTTGGGCCTCTGTACCCGAGTGGGAGACCCAGAAGAAGCTCGGATCAGCCCAGCTCCAGCCATAGTGGCCATTTCCGGAGTGAACGAGCAGATGGAGGACTTTTCTGTTTCATTCGCTCATCATCAGTAAATCTAACTTTCAAATAAATAAATAAAATATTTAAATAAAACAATGAATTATAACATAAATAGCTTCTGGATGCAGAATTTCTTGGAGGAATAGTATGCAGGGAAGCCCCATATCAGTATAAAGAAGAACCCTAGAGGTAATTGAAGCTAACACCTAAGGTGTAGAAATCATTAAACAGTGGAATACTTACTGTTATTAATATTAATCTTCACAGTACATATCTAGATATCTTTGTGCCTATTATTCAGTATATCAAATATATATATATTTATACATATATATGGAAAAATCACATCTGAAGATATAAAATAATCATTAGAACATTTTTCTTTGTAAAACAGAAGATTTGTATTCTCTTAAATAAGGGGATAACCCAGGCTGGCACTGTGGCACAGTGGATTAACACCCTGGCCTGCAGTGCCGGCATCCCATGTGGGTGCCAGTTTGAGACCCGGCCGCTACACTTCCAATCCAGTCCCCTGCTGTGGCCTGGGGAAGCAGTAGAAGATGGCCCAAGTCCTTGGGCCTCTGTTCCCTCGTATGAGACCAGGAGGAAGCTCCTGGCTCTTTAGCTTCAGTTCGATGCAGCTTTGGCCATTGTGGCCAATTGGGGAGTGAACCAGCAGATGGAAGACCTCTCTCTCTCTCTCTCAAAGAAAACAAAATGAGTAAGAATAAGGTGACACCTCTTTCTTATTTAAAAAATAGGTGAATTTGTTTTACTATTATTTTCATTCTATTGTGCCCACTTTTCTGAGGTTTCTGATCCTTTCTTTAATTTTTAAGTATATTTTTTAAAAATAAAGAATAAGAAACACTATTACGTCTACTATCATTGCAATCAAAAAGGAATCACCAAAATTAGATCTAATAAACTATTTACTAAAAATATCTGGACAATTTAACTTGGTAGCTTAAGTAAATGCTAATTGATTCTATAGTTTACACTTTGTTTCTAAAAATCTAGATCAACAATTCAACAGGAAGATGTGACTATAAAAATATAATATAATGATATATGCACCGAATTACTGTTTAAAAGAAATGCAATTTAAAAGAAATGTTAATGTATCTAAAAGGAATCATAGACTCCAATACAATAGTAATGGGAGACTTCAACACCTTGCTTTCAGCAATGGACAGATCAACCAGACAGAAAATCAACAGTTAATAAACACTGTAAACCAAAGGGACCTGACTGATATCTAAATAACTTTTTTTTTTCCAGAAAAAAATTTTAAAAAATATTTATTTATTTATCTAACTGAAGATTCAGAGAGAGAGAGAGAGAGAGAGAGAGACAGAGACAGAGACAGAGACAGAGAAAGTCTTCTCTCTGCTGGTTCACTCCCAGAATGGTTGCAACAGCCGAGGTGGGCCTTGCTGAAGCCAGGAGCCTAAGCTTGCTCCGAGTCTCCCACACAAGGGCAGAGGGCCCAAGGACTTGGGCCATCTTCCATTGTTTTCCCAAGCCATAGCAAAGAGCTAGATTGGAAGTAGAGCAGCCAGCACTCAAACTGTCACCCATGTGGGATGCTGGCACTGCAGGCTGCAGCTTTACCCACTATGCTACAGTGCCAGTACCACCTCAGAAACTTTTCATTTAAGATATGCAAACTTCATGCATTACATAAATACAACTTTAGGAACATAGTGATTCTCCCCATCCTAGCCACGCTCCCACCCCCACTCCCACCTTTATTCCTTCTCCTTCTATTTTAATTCTTACTTTTTTACTAAGATCTACTTTCAATTAACTGTATACACATAACATTATCCTAAGAGTTCAACAAATAGCATTAAAAAAAAAAAAAAACTGTTCCTCAACAGGGCTGATCAAATACTACAGTTACAGAATACACATTTTTCTTACCAGGACATGGAACTTTCTCTAGGATAGACCATATGCTAGGGCATAAAAAAAGTCCCACAAATTAAAAAAAAAAAAAAGAAATTATACCATGCATTTTCTCTGATACAATGGGATGAAGCTGGAAATCAACAATTCAAGAATCTCCAGAACATATGAAAACACAAGGAGACTGAACAACATGCCCCTGAATGAACAGTGTGTCATAGAAGAAATCAAAAGAGAAATCAAAAATTTTCTGAAAACAAATGAAGATGACAATACAACACGTTAACGCTTATGGGATACATCAAAGCAGTGTTAAGAGGGAAATTTATAGCAATTGATGCATACATCAACAAATAGGAAAAGCACCACATAAATGAGTTATCAATGCATCTCATGGACATAGAAAAACAACAATAAACCAAACCCAAAATTGTGGGTGGAAAAATAATTAAAAATAGAGAAGAAATAAATAAAGTTGAAATTTAAGTGAAAATAGATCTTTGTAAAATAAATAAGAATGGGAATAGAGGCCGGGGGTAGAAGAAGTTTGCCGGCAGGTGGGAGGTTAGGGTAGGAAGAATCACTATGTTCCTAAATTCATATATATGTAAGATGCACAAAGTTTGAATACATCAAATAAATGCTTCTGTAAAAAAAAATCAATATAACTTCTGAATTATACTGTGTAAATTTTCATTATTTATCTTATTTTAAAAACAACATTCAGGAATCAATATCTTTTGGAGATATTTAAGTAAATAAGACAGGTAATATTCATTAGGTATTGCTAAGAATTTTTTTCCCTTAATAATGCATTAGGACCTATATTGGGTCTTTTCTGCTACTCAGAGACAAGAAAATATTAATTTAAAACATAATGTATTATATATAGGCAAATAATCACCAATAGCATTTTACTGTAAAGATTGATCAATGTGTTGATGCCTTTTGAAGCATGTTAACAAGTAAATTAAACTAAAAGTTCACCTTAAGGGTAAAAAACGCCAAGTTCAACTTTGTTGGGGTTACTTTCAATGTAATATATTGTATAAGTACAATTATTTCCACAAGATGACAAAATTTGTGACTGATATTCATATGGTTTGCGATTGTGGTTGGATTAGAATTTGACCTATGAGTACTACTATGGAATAATAATATCCACTGGGTAATTGACATTTTTCTTAATAAGGAATACTATGTTCTAATCCATCACTATATGTAATTCTATGAAGAAAAAAATAACTGACAACAAACCCTCAGAAGCAACAAATATCACGTATCCCATTTTTCAGAGAATGTCACTTAGTCTCAATGAGTTTAAATTAATTATCCTTATAAATAAAGTTCAACAAAGTGAAAATTTTCTGCCTATAAATGTGATTTTTGAGAGCTTCCTCAGTTTAAATTGGCCTTTTGCCTAGTCTTCATTTCTGAAAACAATCCAAAAAAATTGTATGCTTTAATAATGGATTGACTGCTATGCCTTATTCTGCATTTTTCTGAGCTCTTTGCTTTTCCATTCATTGAATTAGAAGATAATTTCATAGTCTGCCAAAACTTCTAATCTTTATCACCTTGGGATTTTGCATTTCCCAATGTAATATTTTCTTTTATCACAGAAGATCTTATACATCAATTGTGTTGAAGAGATTATAGATTCTTCTACAGAATAATGTCATGTCTTCCAAAGAATGGCTATAGAGTGTGAGTTATGAATTCACATATCTTGAGGCTGGTGTTGTGGTGCAGGCAGACCATATCAGAGTGCCTGTTCTAGTCTGAGAGCTCTACTTGCAATTCAGCTTCCTGCTAATGTGTCTGGTAAGGCAATGGAAGATGGTCCAAGAATTTAGACATCTGCCGACCATCTAGGAGACTAGAATGGAGTTTCTGTTCCTGGTTTTTCCTGGTGCAGAAGTACTGGCTATTGCACCCATCTGGGGAGTGAACTGGTGGTTGGAAGATCTCGCTCTTTCTGTCATCTTGATTTTCAAAGAGATTTTTAATGCCCACATTTTTCTGGGAAGGTAATAACTTCATGGATTTCAAAGCAAAAATCCTCCAGGACAATTGTGAGATTGAACTTGTGACTAAATGGAGAAAAGGATTCATTTTTTAGAGTTTACAGTATTCTCTCTCTCTGTAGGCAAACATTTGTTATTTGCAACTTCATTCAGCAATCTCTCATAACCAACATTACAGTTTTAGCTTCTATGAGATTGCTTTTATTTTGTTAGTTTCCCCATACAGGTGAGATCACTTGTCTTTTTACACTTGGCTTATTTCACTTAACATAATGACTATGAGTTTTATCCATGTCATTTCAGGATTTTATCAACCTGAAGGGTTTCTGCATAGCAAAGGAAATAATCAGCATGGTGAGATGACCTAGAAATGACCTAGAGATGACCTAGAAAATGGGAGACAGTATTTGCAAGCTCTACATCTGACAAGGAACTCAAACAACTCAATAGCATAAAAACTAATAATCTAATTCAGAAATGGGCAGTAGCTCTAAATTCCTTTCTCCAAGGCAGCATACAAATGACCTCCAGATTCAAATGGTAATAACTGTTAGGGAGGCAGTGGAAAAAAGAGAACACTTGCACACTGTTGGTGGGAATGTGTATTAGCAGAACCATCATGGAAAACAGTATAAGGTCTCCTCAAAGTGGCTAAAGATAGATCTAAGTTGTGATGCCACTATCCTACTGCTGGTTATGCAAGGGAGTGAAGTCATTCTGTGGAAGATTCATCTGCACTCTAATATTTTAAATGATGTATGTCGGCCCGCGTGGCAGCTCAGTAGGCTAATCCTCTGCCTTGCGGCGCTGGCACACCAGGTTCTAGTCCCGGTCGGGGCACCGGATTCTGTCCTGGTTGCCCCTCTTCCAGGCCAGCTCTCTGCTGTGGCCAGGGAGTGCAGTGGAGATTGGCCCAAGTGCTTGGCCCCTGCACCCCATGGGAGACCAGGATAAGTACCTGGCTCCTGCCTTTGGATAGGCACGGTGTGCTGGTCGCAGCGCGCTGGCCGCGGCGGCCATTGGAAGGTGAACCAATGGCAAAAGAAAGACCTTTCTCTCTGTCTCTCTCTCTCACTGTCCACTCTGCCTGTCAAAAATAAATAAATAAATAAATGATGTATGTCATTTAGAGAAATATATATAAGGTAATATAATATAATATTTTTATTCATTGTAAATATAATTTCTAACTGCCATGCTAAGATATTTCAGATTTCTTCAAAATATAGAAAAAAAAGTGATTTTGCCATGTGAAAAGAATACGTTCCCTTTTAGCTTCATTGGAATTATTAAAATATATAATTAGTTTAAATTTGTAGAGTGTGTCTACATAGGATTCAAATATTTTGTTCAGAACTTTTCTTGTGATAATAAGGATATTCAGCCAAAATTTGTGTGGGTGAGCTTTTCTGAATTCAAGACATCCTAATTTTCTGATTATGTTATAAAGCACTACTGTCATTGAATTGATGCTTTTGTAGGTAGCTGTCAATTCTCATCAGTTAATTAGCAAGTTGTATTTTTGAAAGCAAAGAACAATGATAGTCAAAAAATACATTTTAAATGTCATATTAACTATTAATTATCCAATACATTCTTCACTAGGAAAATACGTCATTTTTTCTCTCATATTTTTTTCTTTTAAATCAGTGTCATGCTGTTTCCCATAATTCCCTGTGTGTTGTACTTAATAGGAGATACAAGAAATACAAGATGGATTAGAACCATACATACACATATTACATGTTGAGAACAGTGATCACAAAATCCTGAGAGCACACATAATTAAAAACATGAGTTGTGTTTGTGACAAAGGAAAGAAAATGAAAAGTAATTCTCATAACTCACTTAATTTTTTTTTCTTTAACACCAAACATTAACTGATCAGAATTCTGTGATGTAATTTAATTTAAAAAGTAAGTTGAGATTTGGTCCTTATTGTTGCCAGGCATTGTGATGCCTTACCATTTTTCCTTCTTTCAAGATGAAAGTGAAGTAGGAGCTGTAGGTACTAGCTCTCTGTCCTGTCTCTCTGCTGGTTTATGCAGTTTCTGTTCTGTTCTGGCACTTCTACATTGGCTTCTTTAGTGTTTGTGAATGTGGCATGATGTTTAAATAGCTGTTCAAATTTGTGTCTCTGGACAGACGATCAGTGGAGCTTGTTACTCAGCCACCATCTTGATATTTGCCTAGTTTCTTAAGGATAAATTTATGAAAGTCAAAGACAACTCTGAATATTTGAAGATTGACTCCAAATAGCTTTGATAGTGATTTATTCATTTACTCAGAGCTTTCCTACACTTCTTCATTCAAGATTTACCAAAGTATTTTTGGAAAACATCATACTATTTTTTGGAGATGGATAGGTACAACAGAGGGAAAAGTTTGACCTTTGAAGTCAAGTAAGTTCATAGTATGCAAAAAAAAATATAGAAAGGCTTAAAATAAAAGGACATTGTCCTTGATTTTTGCTGCTATTGGTATTGTTGTTAAAGCTTAATATTTTGGTTCTGAATTACTGCAATGATGGTATTTAGCTGATCTCCAAAACTTTAATTTCTCATGACATCTTGTATTTGGAGTTCCAGATTAAAAATTATACTCATATTTTAGTATTGGTAATAATTAATAAGACTTAAAAATCTACTTTATAGTATCCCTTACTTGGGTGAGTAATATAGTGTGCTGTCCTGTGAAAGATATATCATTTTTAAATATTGCATGAGGTTTTAAATGATAAGATCATAAATTTTAAATGATAAGAATCATAAGATCCACAAAACTTTTAAATTAATGACAAAAACAAGATGATAATTATTTGATTTATAAAGTAAATGTAATCCAATTTCAATAATATTTTCCCTTTTTTGTTCTATTTTATAGTACATTTTTGTGGAGTACAGTGTGCATTGACCAAATCCGGGTAATAATCTTCCTGTTTCCTGAAATACTTTGTGTATTTTATTAATAGAGAAGAGAGGAGCTTGTACTTTCCAAAACAAAGATAAGTAAAGATAATGAGATGGAAAAATTAAATACTTGGCTTTCATGAGTACATATTGTTTACACATATTGACATACCCTGCCATATGTATAATTATTAAATGTATATGTATAATGAAATGCTCATAAGATTAAATATTTAAAAGCATAGGCTATTTGCTTAATTGAGAAAATTCATCAGTAGAAATATGTAGACAAAGTATGAAAGTCATCTGTTATCCCACTTCTGAAATGTAACTTCCATTAATATTTGGTTGTTGCTCCTCCAAATGGTATTATTTCAATTCACCACAATTACAGGTAAACCTTTTTCTCATGTCTTATAAAAAGTAGCCTAAGTTTCAGCTATACCTTGTATTCTGTTTGTTTCACTTATTTTTCAATAACCATTTTTTAAAGAGACTTAACATTGCTGTATCTCTCTCTTATTGTTTTTGTTATTGGTAGAAATAGCATAAAGCTTTGTGATGTCTGCAGGTGTATGTGTGTCAGAAGCAATGACATTCAATTTTGTATTAAAATAGACTCTTCATTTTAATATCACATACTCATTATGTAAGAGATCAGTTAGTTTTAGCTATTTGGTATTAGAAATTCACCACCTAAAACAATTGGTTTCTCAGATTTATGATGCTTTTTGAGTAACTTTTGATAGCCTCCAAGAGCTAGAGATAAGAAGGAGCTACTTTTTCTCCTAAAAAAAAGTTGCTATCATAAGCTATCTGATAATAAAGCCACGTATTGGTTCATTGCCACTGTGATTAGCAAGCGTTTGTACTTACACAACCATTTCTAAACACTTGGGGATTTCTCTGATCTTGGTCTTGTGGGAATTCAGTAAGTTCCTTGCAAAAAAAAAAAATCACTTTTCATGATTTAATGATCCTTTTTAAAGGATCCAATGACAAAAATTCTTATTTTGAGCAAAAGAGATGCAGAGTCTAAGACTGAACAAGCCCTTTAAGTTCACTAGATTCTTTGATTTTTTTTTTTTTATTTAAAAGCAAGATTTATTTAAATCAGAGACCTCCTAGAGAGGGGTTCCAAGAGAGGAAAACCCAGGGAAGCCGGTAGTAGTGGAGCTGTTAAGCACATTTTGAGGTTTCTAAATATATTTACTATTGATCATTACCAGTGAAAAATGACTTCTGATATTCATTGTGCTGATTTTCAAGATCTTTAATGTGGAATGGACATATATAAAGATGTCCTGATGGCTAATTCTTGAGTAAAGTTTCTAATTAACTCTCTTAAAATGCTGATTCACATCCTTAAGATGATCCTTAACTATATCTTTACATCCATGCTCCACATGTATATTTTATATTCTTTGGGTTCATATATACCTTCACTTAAAATGACAGTCTTTTCGAGTTACAAATAAAGCTATTCCTATGATTTCCCAAGGATGTGTTGTTACTTTATATTAAGGAGCATTCTATTCCTCAATATTTTTATAGAGTACTCACATGCTATATTTGAAGTATGCAGGCATACAGGTTAAATTGATTAGATTTGTGAACTGGAAGAACATGCCTTCGCCACGCCCCTGTGTAACCTCATGCCCCTACCCAATGCCTCTGCCACACCCCTGTGTGGCCTCATTCGCCTACTTGGCCACATGTGGGTGCCCACCAGCCAATCAGGTTAATTAACTACTCCCCTTTGGAAGTGGGTTAAAAGCCGGGACAAGGTGTGGCCCAAGCCACTCTTCTTCCCTGCCCTCTTGTCAGGAGGGGGCTTGCTGTAGCCCTGCACCTCCAGGGCACATGGCCTTCGGCCCATGTGCTCTAGGATTCCTGGCCCAGATACAGGCATAGATGCTCTTCCACATGGCTGGTTCCTGGTGCTCGGTGTGAACCCCTATTTACCTCTCTCTCTTAAATAAAGCTCTCACTTTCCTATGTACCTTTCTCACTAAATAAAAGCTTAAAACGCACCATGCTGCCTTGTTTATCTCTGCTGGTATTTAGAATTCTTTTCTAAATATTAGGCAAGAACCCCCTTGGGCTTATTAATATTGGGGATTTAGTAATAAGCCCGTGGTGAAATTGTAAGGCACCCCAAATTCCAGTACCACATGTGGCACCCCAGGTAGCATTTCTAGGGAACTTTAAGGGGCCACATTTCAGTGCAAATTTTAGGGGGTCTTCTCTGATTTCATATCCACTTGAGAAGAACACTGTACAGTGTATCCAGTTACCTAATCATTAAAGTATTTTTATCCAGATAATTCTCTAATTGTGGTGGATAAGCATCAGCTAACTATCACTAGAGAAATTGTTTCCATGAGGAGAGCCACCTTCACTGATACCTGCCTTTCTGGGACAGCCACATCTAATAAATATGGAGCTACAAGATTTAGCCTTCTTTTAGTTACAAGCAGCTGTTTTAAAGATACTGCTTAGATTCAGAGATCCTAAAATGGATGCCTGAAATTGTCACTGGGCCTGCATTGCTGTTCATTATCTCCAGCTGGTACTTCCTGTCTCCTTTTCTCTTCAACAGAGGTTGATTTCCTGGTGATCCTTAAAATCTCTCTGACAGATTATACTTTCCAGGGATCTCCATGCATGTTCCACCCTTTGCCATTATCCACCTGTTTGTAAGATCATTACACTTCAACATAAGATTGAAAATCCTGGCCAGCACCATGGCTCACTAGGCTAATCCTCCACCTGCGGCACTGGCACCCCAGGTTCTGGTCCCGGTTGGGGCACCGGATTCTGTCCCGGTTGCTCCTTTTCCAGTCCAGCTCTCTGCTGTGGCCTGGGAGTGCAGTGGAGGATGGCCCAAGTGCTTGGGCCCTGCACCCCATGGGAGACCAGGAAGAAGCACCTGGCTCCTGGCTTCGGATCAGGGCAGTATGCCGCCCAAAGTGGCCATTTGGGGGGTGAACCAACAGAAGGAAGACCTTTCTCTCTGTCTCTCTCACTGTCTAACTCTATCTGTCAAAAAAAAAAAAAAAAAGAATGACCATCCTACAACATGTTACTATGGTAATATAGTCTCCTTGTATGGCTCTATGTCTATCTCCTTAGATCAACTCAAGCTATAAGCAGTGGTTTTTTTCTTTCTACTGGTTTTGAAGCTTAGTGTAAAATTTTGTATTGGTCTAGCCAAGCATTCATTTTCTCACTTAATCCTAATATCCATATTATTATTTATAGTTTCATTTTTATCTTATTATGCCTATTTTAGGGAGATGCAGAGAGGTTATTTTATTCACATCGTCCAGTTAGTAAATATCTGTGTGAGAATAAACAGTATGATTTACCATAAAATTATAGTGGAACTAGAATTTTATAGTTGCAATACACAAACTAATCAAGTATTTAACAATGAACTATTAATTCCCCAAATGCTTATCACAACTTCCTTTAAAGTAACAAAAGACAGACAGACAGACACACACACACACACACACACACTGGATATTAGTTTGTCCTGGGGTGAGTGTTTGGTGTGGAGGTTCAGGCACTGTTTATAGCACCCATATTCCTTTTCAGAGTTTGTGTTTGATTCCTGCTGTGCCTCAGTTTCCTACTGATGTACACGCAGTAAATGATGGTTCAAGTACCTGGGTCCCTGCAACTAAAGTGAGGGACCTGGACTGGGTTTCTTGTTCATGGCTTTGCCCTGACCCAGTATCAAGTGATGAGGACATTTGGGGAGTGAACCAATGAATGGAGATTTCTCCTTCTCTCTAACCCCTTTCATTCAGTGTATGTCTCAAATAAAATGAGAATTAATACATAAAATTTTAAAAAATTTCTCCTTCAACTTTAATATATTATCTATATGTCAATACTTATATAGATCACTTTAATAAGTCTGAGTAATTTAATATTGTAAATAAATAAACAAAATGCTATTAGGTACATAAATTGTAGCAAATTATTTTGCTCAATTTTTTGCTTCTCGCAGAAAAATTCTTCTGCTGTATTTTATGTTCCCCTGAGAGAGAATTCTAGTTGGTACGTTTAATCTACAGAAGAGAACAAAATATTTTTAATTGTAGCACATTAATACTATCAGATAATACCTGGAAAGCACTAAAGCAGAATATGCCCAGGCAGAATGTAGACTATAGAAAGGGAACTTCAAGGCTAACATGGGGCCAATCACAAGAATGACTGCAATGAGCAACCCAGCAGAGCAATCGCCAATTTTCCTCTGCGACCTAGGGTTTAGCTTTTTTTTTTTTTTAACTACAGAAAATTTAGATGGAAGCCATTCCTAAGAAATCTTGAAATTAAGGTATTTTAGCGATTGAAATCAGAGTAGAATGAATACAGCCCTCTAAATTTTAAAAAATAGAATTGAAAGCTTTGAGTTCCTGGAATAAATTATAAAACCAAAGAGAGGTGCTCTAGTTTTGTGTACAATATATCTTTAAGGTTAAGTATTGATAAAATCAATTCAACATGTACACACACACACACACACACGATGAAGGCACTTCAAAAAAGTTTCTGTTGGGATGGGATTAGGGTGCCACACTTAAAAGATACTCCTTTGGATGCTCCTATCCCATATCGGAGTGCCTGAGTTCCAGTCCAGCCTCTGCTCTTTGTCCCAGATTCCTGCTAATAAGTACCTTGTGAAGCCATTGGTGATGACTTAGGGATTTGGGTACTTGCCCACCTGAATGGGAGACCTGGAATGTATCCCTGGCTCCAAACAGGCCTAGCCCAGCTCTGACTGATATTAGTATTTGAGGAGTGAATCACCAAATTGGAGATCTGTTGGTCTCTTTTTGTCTGTTTATCTGTGTGTGTGGCTTGCTGGCTTTCTAATAAATAAAATAATTTAAACAACAAAAAATTGTTGAAAATGTAATTACAAGCCAAAATTATTCTGAAGCAAAAATCTTTGAAATCCATGAATTTTTTTCAAAATGGATGTTTTTCATGAACTTTTAAAACATTCCCTCATATATTCATTCATATAACCACACTATATAACCATGTGCACAACATATACATGCATAAACCACATGTATACATGAATTAAGAGACAAAGGTGTTTTCAAAGAGCATCCAGTTTCCCATGTGATTTTTTTAACCAATTAGACATTCAAAATTATAAGAGAGATTACATAAGCAGCTTAATCAATGGTAAATGTTGGAGTCAATGGCATGGCTCTGATCTATGCCAAATAAACTTGCCTACCAATTAGCAAGTAGTGAGGACCAGACTTATTTGTTTTACCCAGTTGAATCTTAGTAGAAGGAAAAAAGGAACTATCTTACCAATTTTGTTTACTCTCTTCACCCAGTTACTTTAGTAATGTAGCTCACTTCTCTAGTGAAAGAATAAATATTATTGATGACAATCAAAGAATGTGATTCTAAAGATGTCCCTTTACATAAGTTTATTGTAATCATGGTTTTTAATGTCTCCATTTTGGTTCAAAATTTCTTATTGGTGTAGAAGGTCTGTGTAAGAAAAAACTGTGCTTGTATATAAGAACCATCAAACATCTTGTGGTTTCTTTTTAGTGTTATCTTGTGAATTCATAAAGTTTTTAAAATGCATTATAAGCCACTCTCTCTTCTATAAGCTGATTAACGGTTTAATGAATGTCATTTGACTATAAGATAGCCTCTGTTTATGACTGCAGATTGTGATGCCAAAAAGTAGAGTAACAGATTTTTCCTCAGCTTTAACAAAGTTATTTTATGAATACAGAAATTAAAAAGAGGAAGGTCAACTGCTTCACACAGGCTTCGATAAATTATGACCATCTTAACATTAATGTAGTTATGTAATCATCAACCATTTGTTAAATTAATATAATTAAATAAGCCAATTTATTGATCTCTGTTATGCAAAAAATGATTTTAGTGACTACTAAGATTATACAAACAAGACTGTAATAAGATAGATTCCATCAATAAAGGAGACTAAGCACAGCATTGTGGCATAGCTGGTAAAGCTACTGTCTGAGAAATAGGAATCACATACGGGATTGTGTTCATGTCCCAGCTGCTGCACTTAAAATCCACCACCATGCTGAAGTGCCTGGGAATGCAGCAGCAGAATGTGGCCCCTGCATTTGAGCCCCTGCCTTCCACGTTGGAGAAAAAGCTCCTGATTTAATCTCCTGTGTGGCAACCATTTGAGGGGTGAACCTGTAGGCAGATCTCTTTCTCTCTCTGTCTATCCCTCTCTCTCTCAGTGATTCCGCATTTAAAATAGATAAACAAATAAATCTTTAAAGATAATAAAAATAAAGCAGACAAATATAATCTGGAAAAATGATACTAGAAATGACCATTGTCTTTCTATTTTAAATGAGGAGTGTAAACTTTTCCCTTCTCCCATAGTAGGAATAGATTTGAAATGCACATGACCATGCTTATTCTATCCCCTCACACATTCACATAATAAAATCACCACTCATGTGAATAAGTAAAATCCAGGATGCTCACTGTTACATGTGTTTAAGCTTGTAAGGCTGTGTCTCTCACTGTATTTACCCTTTATTCCAGAAACTGCATGCTAATCATGCGGTCAATGCCACAAGGAAACGGATAGTAAACTAACTGACTCAGTCTCCCAGGCAAATAAAAGACATTCTGCTTTCATATTTAGGCCTGGAGCAAGAGGCTTTATTATGCTGAAATCTTCCACTTGTTCATTGTTAAGAAATGAGTTTATTGCGTATTTGCTTATGTAGCAATGATAGTTTGAGTTTTCTTTCTGCTTTTTTTTTCAGTTTTTTAAATTAAAAGAAAGCATTGAATGATTTGTATTAAAATTTACAATGTACTAGGTAATGTACTAGAGAGACAATAAAAAGCTGGTTATGTGTCTCTTATTTCAAGTAAGGTATTTATACTGAAGTCTCAGATTTCTGACTCATGGTCAAAAACCTTTAATTGCAGAAGGCATTTTAAGTTATACTGAGAATATAAATTCATATTCAGAGCACTTACTATGGTTTTATACTAAATGCTTTACATGCAATATCACATTTAATTCTCATGACTAAGGATAATAATGTCAAAAGCAACATCTAAATGAGGGTTTCAAATGTGTGACTACTATTCTGCGTTATCTATGTAAACTATCACATTTAATTCCCAGAGCAACCCTCTGAGGTAAATACTATTATTATCTCTATTTAACAGAGAGGGCATGGAAAATTAAGTAAATTGACAGATTACACAGCTATTATTGCTAAGATGTTCTGATGCCAGAGGCTTTAGTATAGAACTGTAATATAATAGATAATCTTAGCTTTAAAAATAACCGTGGAAAAATCAGAGAAACATCAGCAAAGAGAGAAATTGGGAGCTACATTTGGATATTGGAGGCCAAACTGGTCTTACGTAAAGGGAAAGGAAAAGATACCCATAATGATATGGCTGGGATTAATATCTTTGAAATGTGGAGCTCAGAAAGATGAAGATATTTTATCCATAACAAAATCAGTGAGGATTACTGGGGCTGAGGGAACTCTAAAAGAAGAAAAAAGGGAAGAGCTCAGAGAGTAAACAAAAACATTTCCTTAAGCAAAGCATTCTATCCAAAAATCTAGTGAAAGACAGTTTCTTATGTTAAGACGGAAAGCCAGTAATGGAATCATACCTAGAGAAATTTTATTACATAACCCAGAATGGTTAAATTTACTACTTTATCAGATTCAAAAGGATTGGTGAAGAAAAGACTAGAATTTCAGTTGAAATATCTCAGCAAGCAATCATGGAATATAAAACTTGTAGTTATTGTGCATGGGAATTTGGAGTAAAAAGAAACACATAGATAATGCAAACTGGGCAATTATACAATTAGTGAATCTTAAAATGAATTGACATTTGGATTTACAGACTATGCTTCAGTACAAAGATATTTTACAATATTATGATTTTTGTGCTGGACTGCAACTATAACTTTCTA